TCAACCGTAGCAGGATTAGTAATGAACCGTCGTGGCAAGCCTCTCCAGCACTTCTGTGACGGTAACGGTGTCAACAAGTAGTCCTTATATCCCCAGTTTCAGTGGTATTTCTACTACCCTGCCTGAAACGTGTGCTCAGTCGTGGATCGCAGTGTTGTGAACGAGTAATACAGCTAATTAACTTAGAATTAATCTCGTGGCAAATATAAGTGTAAAGCAGATGCAGTGCTACATCATAAATACTACGTAATCTTTCCATTTCACGCTCACTAGAGGTTGTTCTATGTCGACTGAATAAAGCAGTTCGCTTGTTTCGTAACTGATTTCGGTAAGAAAAAGTAGGAAGTTGATAGTCAGTTCCTAAAATTAAAATTCGTCCAATGTTATCGTACCCCACTATTCCCTAACTTGATCTACTTGCTTGGCAGTTGATGAAGACGGGCTACGGAGTGTCTGGAGTTACGTCATCATTGTTGGCCTTCTCTGCATCCTGACCGTATTCGTTCTGATTGCTTTGATCTACGGAAGAAAAGTGCGCACTAGTATTCACTACGAACATCAGATCAACGAGTCCGAGGCTGACGAACCATTCTCCCGGTCTAGCCTCCATAAGAAGCAAACGACTCTTCCTCCTGATTTTGTTGGCGCCGAAAGTATCAACCTCCCCAATGGGATCACACATATGCAAAATTGTGTTAAATAGATCCCATACATCCGCGGTGTCTATACCTCTGTTATTGCAGTGAAACACACGATATAATTGTCCATACTGAAAGGATTAAGAAGTAAAGTGTTCGTGCCTCGCACGAATTGACGTTTGATTCTCAATCGAAACTAGAGGTCGTTAGGGCCCCCACAGGACAGAGAGAAGACCGGGTCGGAGGAGCAGAAGAACAGGAATATAATAGCCAACCACACCGTTCATTGGGAAGGGAAAATCGAAAGTTCGTGAATGGTATTTAAACTTCACGTAGAAAACTCTAGAAGGGTCAACTTACGCCCAATGAAGGAATGCCACTCGCGTGTAAATTGATTACATCCCCCGGTTGGCTGTCTGTTCCCCCCTAATCAGTGCGGGTGAGTTTGGATCGCCTGCCACGCCTCGGCTCCGGAACGGTGATGCGTGCCTCGGTGGTTCGTTTAGCGTACTCCTTCTTAAGAAAAAGAGAAAAACTATTTGGTCTGCGGTTTTCTCCGCCAGTACAAAAGCACCATAAGGAATAATATTGCCGCTAAACACCAGTGTTCTCCGAATTCCCACAAAGGACACTATCAATGCACACACGGTACAAAATACACCTATAAACTTCATATAAGACGTTCCCTTTAGAATTTCAGAATAGAAAGAAGCAGCATTTCCACAGTTTATTCCGCATTCAGCTATTTCGTATCTTCTCATCAGCCGTTGACAAACAATCAGTGGAACGACCACAATGTAACACACCAAGATAAATGGGGTAAAAATTGTTCGGCTTAAATGAAGCTAATCGATAACGCCTCACCGAAGTAAGGCTAGGGTAGTCAGAAAGTCCATCTGCTTACATAAATTGGGCTCCGGCCTACGGATCTCTGAGGCCGCTGAAAATTGAAGCAAACGGGCAGTGCTTTGCCGACCAATGAGCCTGAATATCTCACCTGGATGTTGACAATAAGGGCAAGCAAGTGTGTGCCGGGCCACAGAGATAGCGAGAAACTTCGGCCGTCTGCCACCAAGTTACGCGGGACATTCCCTGAAATCCTCGTGGATAGCCTCCCCTCACTTCGGCCCACATACTTACTCCCGCAATTACAATGAAAAAAGAGGCCGTAACTTTAGAGTCTGGTTTGTCCAGGTAGGATTTTCACAGTAACTTCCTAACATGGTGCAGTAAAAGTAGCTCGGCGGCATAATAACATCTCTTAATGGACTGACGGAAACGATATCCAAATCACCTGTCATATTGGTCTCCTTTGAATGGTACCTGGATGAATACTTTCTTCTTAGAGACGACGGCTGCACTCTTTTCAATTGCCTTAGCGTTCGAGCGGCGTGCTATGAATCTGTTGGGATACCTGTTTTCGCGTAGTGTTACCGAGACGCGCCGCAACTCATTAACAATCGCCCCATCGGAGCGGAGCTTACGGGCTTTTGCAAAAGTGGTGCGCACAAGCGCTCGTTTGTAATTAATCAGAGAGAACTGTTCAACTTGAGAACATTGATTGCCTTATACGTCGTGATGCTTTGAGTGGTTTCCAGGAGAAAAACGGTTGTTTTGTGATCGTCGAACAATTAGAAAATCTAGAATGCTCGGCAGCTTTAAACTGACTACTCGCAGAGATGACTAGGTTATCTAACTGTTACACTTTATTGACAACCAGCCATTGTTACCAAGTCGGACCGGAGGAAGCTGACCTATACTGTAGTGTTTTGACATTGACATGAATATTCGCACTTCGGTGGCAAGCAGAATCCAAAGGACCTAATCTAACCAAGACTTAACCACTAAAGATGATGTGTTTTCGGCTTACCCGTTCCACCAAACCGTGCTACATGCGTACTGAAGCTGCAACACTCATTCTCCTATCTTCGTGGTCACCCACTCTGGCTCCCACATAAGCACAGCGCGGTAAACTTCAGGCGACATTTCTTCGCTCTGCGAATCTGCCGACCATGGAACGCTCGGCCTGCCGATGCAATCTCGGCATATCTTTTGGATGATTTCAAGACTCGCCTTGGCCAACGCGTCTTGCCGACCTGCATCGTGATCTCCCCTGAGACAGCTACTTGTAGTCTGGAATACGATATCCCAGACTAGCTAAAGTCATGTCCCTTCCGCTTCTCATCAGGCGCAACAGCTTGTTCTTTTATCCCTAACGCTCCTGATTTACATGTTGCTAGTGACCTTTTCTCTTTTATGCTACTCTTTTCTTTTCTAGCTGTATCAGAGGGCTTGGTGGGTTTCACGCTGCAAGCCGGCGTACATTCTGTTCACATGTCACACAGCGCAGTTAAGGATACGGCTAACACGCGAATCCAACCCGCCATAAGGTTGTTTGGCCTGTCCATGTGACCCTACCCCATTTCTTTACATCTTACGGGTCATGCAAAAGTTCCAGCTTTTTTCTACGAAATACGATGTTCAATACAACATCCACCAACACACACGTGCACGATTGGCTGCTTCGCGATTGATTTAATGATAACCCGCGCTAGTTAGACCTCTTTTCAGAGTTAGTTGGTTCACCCCCAGTACGGTGTGTATACAACATACTCTACGCAACAAAGTCACAATACAATCATGTCATGTCATCCAATTGGGCAACCGTTAGAGGGCAATATTGAGCTTTATCCTGGTCAATACTCAAGTTAGTCTACAGGCAGTGAAATTTTGCGCACAGTTACATCGTTACACATGGGTATATAACCAAATGGAGGTCCGCAAGAGGTTTGTGCCCAAACTGGATTGGTCCAACCGCACCCACTGGCCAGGCTTTCGACCGAAAATCGTAGATGTGAAACCTGCGACGGAGCGTCCTCACTTGGACTGGCCCCAGCAAATCATGCGCCAACTGCTCTCCATCATCATGTGATGTGTCGACCAACCGCCTCCCTATCACCATCCAGTCAAACCATTGTCGTGTAAATGTCCGTAAATCGATCATGCCATTGCCACTTCCACTTAATGCATGGATATAGTTAGAGCTTACCGAGTAGGCATACAAAACGGCCAATAGGATACCGGATAAATGTTCATGTGCGTGCGTACGTACGTGCGGCTGATAGTGCCGAAAATGCCAACTAGTCTTACCCCGTGGGCTGCACGTTGAAGAGGCAACTCCTCCTTATTGATGTTAACTGGCGTCAACGACTGTACTGCAACAGAACCAACACGAAGTGGGAGGCAAGCATTTATTTCACCCAAACAGAACACACAGAGGCTTAATGACGGAACATCCGGTGGCTAAGCATACTGTAACATACTTGGCGACATTCGGTTCCGAATTTGCCTGTCATTGTGACCTCCATAGGATAGCCACAGGACGCCTGCGTCTACAGACGGACCATGGGTGACTTGCGCCGCACCATCCATAGCTCCGTTCGCACACTTTAGATCCAGTGCAAACCCGAATGGAAAAGACCTGGATGCACGGTGATGGGAGTCACGTTTCCTAAACGGAGCCGGCCCACATTCCAACATGCACAACAACAGCATTCCTGTCTGTCTATGTAGGGCATCATGCGTACGAGATGTACACAAGGCAGTGGCTTGGCCGTAGACCGCTGTACACCGGATGGAACCAGCCTTCGAGCCTAGGGCGGCCACGAGGACCGTGCGGCCCGTCACCTCTCTCCTGAAGCCAGTAATCGAGGTGAAGTGTGTTAGACATGTAGGCACCTTGGCAACATGCACATCAAGCGCAGCCACACCGGGAGTAGCAAAAAACTAACATAGAATTTAAGGGAAACCAGACATGAAAAATTAACACAGGATATGCAGCAAAATAGCAGAATTGAACAAACCAAACAAAGTGAAGTGAAGTTAATACAGATTAAAAAAACTTAGATTAAGTACAAGTTGGTGTAGCCTAAATACAGTGAAGAAGCATCGTGAATGCAACATCGACTACAGCATGTGGCATATATTGTAATTTGGTTGGCAGCTTCCGGTTTCGAATTCACCCGTCACTTGGGCCTCCATAGGAAGCAACAGGACGACTGCGACTACAGAAGGACCATATGTGGTTTGCGCTGCACCACGCACAGCTCCATCCACACGCCCTATATCCTGGGTAAACTAGAAGGAATAAGACCGGGAGGTGTGTGGATGGGAGCCACGTTTCATCCACGGAGCAGGCAAACAGAGGCAAACACAAGCACGCTATATTTGGGTATCAATCGAACACAAGGCGGTGGCTGGACCGTAGTCCGCTCCACACTGTGTGCATGGAACCACTCTCCGAGCCTAACACGGCCACAAGGACCGTGCACCCCGTACTCTCTAGCAACGACCGACTGTCTCCTACAGCCAGTATGGACGAGGTAGTGGGTAATAAACTGGTAGGCACCTTGTCAACATACGCATTAAGCGCAGCCACATCGGAATGTCAAGAAACAGCAAATCATATAAATTAAAGCGAATAAAGCATACGCTAAAAGAGCATATGAAATAAATCGGTTATCAACAAATCCGCGATAGAACCAAGATGTCAGCAAAAGATGCTTAAACAAAAAAATGCCACAAAAGCCAAAGGATAAACCAAATTAACCACAATCAGCTTAAGCGAAATGTGCAAATTAACAGGATATTATTCAAGTGGATGTTAAAATAAGGCGAAAAAAAGCTTTAGGACAAGAGAACAAACTCAGCACCTGAAATAAAGAAATTCAACACGATAGCACACGGTTAGTTATTCGAATGCAACGAACCTACCAACGCTGCGCCGGTTCTGCCTACGTTCGCTGGAGGACACGTCGTCTTTTTGGTGCTGGTCTTGAGTGGACCTGCTCGTGGCACACTAGGCCTGCCTGACTCAGGCACTCGCCACCACATGTGCTAGAGCACCATGAACTCGACGTCGATGGAGTGCAAATTATCGGCACCTGTTGCTCCCACACTTGCCACAACTTCTCCGCATGCACGATGGCTTTCTCTTGCACCTAAGCAGTGACTTTCGTGATCAGATCGCGCCATGTGCGCCGATCAGCCGCCTTCGATTACCAAC